CCCGTTGAGCAAAAGTACGCCTCAAGGATAAAAAGTACGCTGGCATGCTCAATGATTCCTTGCCAGATGCAAGGTGAACGGATCCCTAGCTGCAGACCGTGCCTCTTTTTCCGCGCAAAAGTGCACGAGAAAACTTAGAAATTACGAAAAACAAAATGCTGGAAAAGGAATACACTCCAATGCACAGATGATCTGTTTTACCCGGTATGGCCGCGTTCATAGCTTGCGACCGTGAAGAAATGCAGAAATGCGGAATCTGAAGAAATGCAGAAATGCCGAATTGCGGAAAATCGATACGTATCGGTTGCTTTTCGTCATTTCTGCAGATTCCGCATTTCCGCACTTTCTGCATTTCTGCAGATTCCGCACTTCTGCACTTTCGGCATTTCTGCATTTCTTCAAATCGATACGTATGTAATGCTTTTCGTCATTTCTGCACTTTCCGCAATTCTTCATTAATATCAGCTGCCACGAGGGGAACCGAAAGAATCTTTGAACTAAAGTTTTGAATTCTGCTCTGTTCCTCTTAATGTTGTGAACAGAAAACTACTTGAAGTATTTCTTTATTCAGTATTTAGCAATAATAGAGTATATGCTTGAGTACAGCCCAGTGGCAAGAAACGTCCAACCCAACATAAACAAGGTTGAGTTTTCCACGATCAGAAACACTGCTCTAAGCACTCGTCTTTCAGTGGAAAGAACTATCGGTAGAAACATAAGAGTGTGAAGAACGGCAGGCAGGATAAGTGAAAGTAGCATTCCTGCAGTGACGCCTACCAGTGGAATGATATCGTAGAGATTTGGTACACACACGGCAACAGTTACTGCAAAAAGTTCGTAAGACAGCAACACAACGACAATAAAGACAGTGAGCATGTTGTGTTTGCTAGGAGGGGGCTGGGGGCCCTTCTAGCCCAACGTTATAGGTGAAAAACAGGGCACACCGCGGCTGTGAGAAAACACAACGAAGATCGTATTTGACCACTCTAAAAGGCTTGTATTTTACTGTTAGATTTTTTCTGATGGCTACACGTCTCGTTGGCCCTATTTGCTGAACTGTCAAGAGAATTC